TGGTTTCATTAATCTTTTGGACTATCTTTTTTATTTATATTTCATTTTATTTCTACTCTAATTTTTATTATTTCCTTCCTTCTGCTGACTTTTGTTTTTCTTTTTCCATCATTTTCTAATTCCTAAAGATGGGAGATGAAAATGATGATATGAGCTCTTTCTTCTTGATGTGGGCCTGTATTGCTACATCTCTTTAGGGCCTGGTTGGTTGTCTTCATTTTTCATTTGTTTCAAGGTATTTGTGAATTTCTTCCTTGATTTCTTCATTAATCCATTGGTCATTCAATAGCGTTTTGTTCAGTTTACATATATTAGAGGCTTTTCCTGTGTTCTTTTTGTTTTTGATTTCTAGTTTGATAATATTGTGATCAGAGAAACACTTGATATGATTTCAGTCTTCATGAACTTATTGATACTTGTTTTGTGACCCAGTGTGTTGTCAGTCCTCGAGAATGTTCCATGTGATTTGAGAAGAATGTATAGTCAGTTTTTTTCTTGGGGGTGGGGGGAATGCAGTGCCCTATAACTGTCTATTGAGCATGCATGGTATAGTTCTTTGTTTAGGGCTTTTTTATCCTTATTTATTTTCTGTCTGATTGATCTTTACATTGGTGAATGTTCATTGATGAAAGTGTCTGTCCCTGTCTCCTGTTGCCTTTTTTGGGGGGCTGGAAATCTATTTTATGTAATATATAAGTGTGAATGTGCCTGCCTTATTTTGGTCCCATTTGCTTATAGGATTTTCCCCAACCCTTTGCTAAGACTGTTCATCTTTGGAGCTGCTCTGGTGCCTTTCCTGGAGATGTTGGATTCTGTTCTTCTTTTATTTTTTTTTTTTAATTTTTTTTTTTTTAAGATTTATTTATTTATTTATTTAGTCATACAAGCACTGGGTACAGTAGAAGCGCGGGAGGGTGAGAGAATTCACCAGAGTCAGAGCAGGGAGCAGAACAGGCAGAAGGACCGAAGTACACTGCTGAGGGGAGCAGCGGGCGGCAGGAGAGGTCTAGCGCGCCATGCGGGACCCTCCTCCGGTGGCCGGGGAGCAGCCGGGGATCGAACCAGAGCTGCAGAGGCTGCGGGCAGCTTCGCAACCCAGCGCTCAACTGCTGCGCCACCGGGGAGGCCCTGGATTCTGTTCTTGATCCAGTTAGCCACTCTTGGCCTTTTGATTGCAGAGTTCAGTCCATTTACATTTTGGGTGATTTTTGATGTGTGAGCGTCTGCTGTTACCATTTTGTCCTTTTCTGGTTCTATTTCCTTGTTCAGTTTTTTTGTAGATGTTCTTCTCTTTTATTTAGAGAACTCCTTTCAGTATTTCTTGGAGGGGAGGTCTAATATTTGCCAACTCCTTCAGTTTCTCTTTATCTGAGAAGGCCTTTATTTCTTCCTTATATCTGAAGGAGAGTCCTGCAGGATATTCTTGACTGGCAGTTTTTCTTAGGTGTTTTGATCACATCAGCAAGGCTCTCTCCTAGCCCATAGTGTTTGTGTTACCAGAACCCAGCCATCTTGGTGGTGGGAGCCGGCAGGGCAGTGACGTCCTTCCACCCCGCCGCTCCACCACAAGTCCGTTGTGGCAGTTGCTCCTCAGAGCTCGGTAACGGCTGTTTGTAATGGACCAATCAGGTGCGAGCTGTGAGCGGATTGGTGCTAAATGGTCCAATCAGACTTGTGGGTGAAAGAGGATCTAAGCCAGTGTTCGAGGGAGCTGAGGGATCCCACTGAAAAGGGGCCCCCGAAAGGAGAGAGGTCACCAGCCCCTGAAAAAAGGGAAAACGGTTACAGCCACCCAAGAAAGGAAAAAAGCATCCAGCAGCCGCCCTCCCCCTCCGAGGAGGAAGAGAAGCCGAAGGACTCCGTCCCGGTCTGGGCCTCGGTCCCGTCTCTGACGTGGCCTGAAAGGAGCACCAAAGGCCCCGGGCCTGGTCCTCAGAGAGCTGTTTGTTGTTGGTACCTGGGTGAGGCAGCCACCACTGTGGGGACAGTGAGCTTGTTATTTCCCGTTTGTAAATAAAGCCCCTGGTTGTAGTTCCCGGAGCCTGAGGTCTCTCGGAATTGTGCGCGCAGGTGAGAACCCACAATGACCTGTCCTCTTATCGGGCACTGACCCTTAGCTTTTGGTTTTTGGCCTTTTGGGGCTTTTTGGTGGCTCTCTGGTCTCAGAGACCCTGTGGCCTCTCTTGTGGCCCACTCTGCCTCTGTTTCATTTGCTCAGGTAACTCAGATGTAAGCCTTTCTAAGTTTTCTGCTACTTTCCCTACACAGATTCAGTATTCTCTCCTTGTCTTGAACTCTTGGACTTTTCAATACTATGTGTCTTTGTTAGGTCTCATTACATGTAGGTAACCAGGAGTTCTTCCAGCTCCATGGACTTTTTAATTTATTTCCCACTGCAGGTTTGGGACATTTTCCTCTGTTATTACTTTGAATGAATAAAGTTTCTGTTCCCTGCTTTTTCCTTCTATTTTGGAATACCCATTATTATTATATTGCTTTTCCTCATGTTGTTGGATAATTTTTGAGTTGTTTATTTTTTTCTTTATATTGTATTTCTCTTCTTCCATCTGTATTCTTTGTGCATTCTGAATTAAGCACTGACCTGCTTTCTGAGTTGAGCACTGATTTAAAGAAATATATTTGGCTGTTACGGGTTTTAAAGGCAGTGACAGCAAATTTGGAGAGATAATTAGCTTTCATAACTATAAGTGATAGCTTTTTAAAAATTGGCAAACTCATCCACTAGAAAACTTGGGACAGAACATATTTAAGTGAGTAATTTTAAATTGCCAATAAACTTACAGTCATGTATGGCTTACCTGGGAATTTCTCTTCAAGTTCTTCAAATATGTCTACTTACCTTTTTTTTTTTTTAAATAAATAGGGTTTAACAGCTCTTATTGGAGCTCAGGGTTCTTTCCTGAGCCCACATGATCGTTGTAGAATTCTGTTCTAACTGTTCCCACATTCTTGCTGGCTATCAGCTGGGAGATATTTCCATGTTTTAGAAACCCCCTAGCACTCTGCCATGTTGCCTCTCACAGTATGGCATCTTATTTCTTCAATTTAGCAAGTGAATCTCTGGCTCCAATCTGATAATATAGAACATAATTAGGGCAGTGACTGTCTCATCACCTTTGTTGGATTCTATTGGCTAGAAACAGGTTGCAAGTTGTGCCCATAGTCAGTGATGTGTCTCATTAAGGGGGGTTATCTCAGAATTTTTCGGTCATAGTTGCTTTGTATCCATTAAATGGAAATAATTTAAAAAAAGTACTTATTGCTAGGAGGGGAGATGTGTGTAAAAAAGGGAGCCTCTATCCATGACCATTAGAAAGAAGCCTTTAAAGAAGGCTTGTAGCCTTTATATAATACATTTTTTAAGGACAGAAATACATTTTCATCCTGTAAATCTACTCATGGGAATCTGTTTTATGGAAATAAAATCTCCAGTATCCAAGGATATATGCCAGGGACATTTATTGTAGCATTATTAGTAATGTTAGAAAACTGGAAGCAAAGTGAATGTCCATCAGTAGGGGGAGTAATTGGCTATCCTGAGTATTCGCCTTTACAAAGATTAGTTATTACAGATTGACTTGGAGAGATTTGCCAGAGGTGTTGAGTGAGATAGATAGATGGATAGATGGAGGAAAATGATCTAATTCTTTCAGGAAGAAAGAGATATAAACTCCTTTGTATCTATGTTTGTGTCTCTGAATATAATTACATTAGTTGTAGAGAAAAATATGAAATGATATGTACTGGATTTTTTTTTTTAAGATTTTTATGTATTTATATAAGAACCGGGGTACAGGCCAAATGCACAAGAGGCTGAGAGGATTCACCAGAGACAGAGTGGGGAACAGAACAGGCAGTCTGACTAAATACATTGCTGAGGGGAGCAGCAGGCGAGACAGGAGAGGTCTTCCGCGCCATGTGGGACCCTCGCCGGCCGGCAGGGATTGAACCCGCGCTGCAGAGGCTGCGGACAGCTTCACAGTGCTGTGCTCAACTGCCTGCGCTACCAGAGGAGGCCCTGTACTGGATTTTTATGTGGGGGAGATGCTGTTGATGAAGATAGAGAGAAAGTGGTATACAAAGAAAAAGGGGAAACAGACTGTTGAAAGAATATATATATCCTCTTTCTATAATCTAAAATGTGTGATACAGTCACATCTTGTTTATTTTAAATTGTTTCTACATATTTTTATCTGTAAAGAATATTAAATATTAAATTTATACCTTAAAATTGACTACTGTGGGCCTCCCCGGTGGCGCAGCGGTTGAGCTCTGGGTTGCGAAGCTGCCCGCAGCCTCTGCTGCGCCGGTTCGATCCCCAGCTGTTCCCCGGCCACCGAAGGAGGGTCCCACATGGCGCGCAGACCTCTCCTGCCACCCGCTGCTCCCCTCAGCAGTGTACTTCTGTCCTTCTGCCTGTTCTGCTCCCTGCTCTGGCTCTGGTGAATTCTCTCACCCTCCCGCGCTTCTGACTGTACCCAGTGCTTGTATAAATAAATGAATAAATAAATAAATCTTTAAAAAAAAATTGACTACTGTGTCGAATAGTCCTTTTTTTTGTATAGGACCTTCAAAATGGATAATGAATATTTACAGTATCCTTTGTTTAGATATTTTTTGTTACCCAAATTTATCTTGTTTTAAAGTCAATAATTGCAAAAAAAATAAAGTCAGTAACTGACTTTTAGATGCCTTAATACATAGCAGTATAACCAAAAAATGGGGCCAGTATAGAATCTAGAAATAAGGAATAGCTGTTGTTGAGACATTTCTCCTTTTTAAAACAAAACCCTAGGGTTTCAGCAAATGCATAATCTTTAATAAAATTGTGAATCTAGTTTAAAAATTGTTTATATATCCAAAGTTCAATAACTTTTAGTTTCTATATTCAAAGTTTCTAATTTTGACAAATCTTCTGTGTTGGGGGTTTTATAAAACTGAATGAAACAATCTAATTTATAAATGCATTTTCTTTCAAGTGTCTTTTTCTGAAGAAGACAAGTATCAACTACGGAAATTTGTCAATAAATCTTATCTGTTGGACAAGACAGCCATTCGCCAGGTGTACTTCAGTTTGATTGACATCCTTCTGGCATATTGCTATGAAACTCGTGTCACCGAAGGAGAGAAGAATGTAGGTGCAGGTGCACATGCATGTTGGTATAGACTGCTGCACTAAGTAAACTCTATTAAGGTGTCAAACCTCTTGTCAAGAGTAGTATCTGCTGTGATTAGTTATTTTGGGGAGGCTTCAGATGGAGGGCCATGTGTGTTGATGGGTACCAACAACATGAAAAGATAATGCTTACTCAGTCTTTTTCTCTTCCCTTGGCATAGTCTCTGTCAAATAGCAGAGCAGGGACATAAAGCTGTAGTTAGAGGAAAAGGGTATCTTAAGATCTTACCTCTTTTATAAAGGCGATGACTACACCAAGTAATAGGATTATCGCCACATCACACTTGACAATAACAAGAGGTAAATTTTACCATAGACTTTCATAGTAAAACCTCTTGCAAAGTACACTATTTTTTTTTAAAGATTTATTTATGCATACAAGAGCTGGGGCACAGGCCAGAGATGCAGGGGGTGGGGGCGGGGGCGGCGAGAGGATCCACCAGAGACAGAATGGGGAACAGAACAGGCAAATTGACTTAAATACACTGCTGAGGGGAGCAGCGGGCAAGGTAGGAGAGGTGTGCTGCACCATGTGGGTAGCTCCCTGGCCAGCCGGCAATCGAACTCATGCTGCAGAGGCTGTGGATTGCTTCATAGTATGGTGCTTAACCCCTTGTGCCACCAAGGAGGCCCAGTACACTATTTTTTAAAATAACATTTTTATAGACCACATTATATACTTGATTGTATCTCTTCTTATACCATATTTGATTTTGTAAATGAAGAGCAAAACTTTTTTCTCACCTATAACACTGATTGTATATATAAAAATAAAAGCTGGAAAATCAAAAAAGGTCTTTTCCATTAAGTGCCCCTGCAGCTGTTTGTAATCGTCCTTGCTCAAGTGGTTGGAGCTGAACATGTGCTCTCCTTTTTAAAAATTATACATTTAATTCTTTTTGTAAATGGAAGCACACACTAAGAAAATAATTAAACTTTTCTGTAATCTCAGCCATCTGAAAGAGCCACTCTTAGTAGGTGATTTCTTTCATTGTGCATGTATATGTATGTACATGCATGTATTTACATTGGGTTATAACAGATCTACTATCCTTTAATCTGCTTTAAACACCATGATTAGCATAGCATTAGGATTAGAGTTTGACATGTGCCAAATTTTTTGTAATAATTCTGGACATTTCAAAGGCAACCCTTGAGATTTGCATTTGACTGCAAAATGAATATTAATGAGGATATCAATGGCATAAAATAACTGAAAATGCTTTTTTTTGTTTCCATTCATCTTTTAAGGATACTATAATTGGAGGAAATGCTTTCTTTGACAAAAAAAGTGTACGCCATATTACTGCTTGAGAAGATGAGCGAGAGTATTTAATTATACTCAGTAAAATTTACCATTTTGATTCTTGTATTCACACATTTGAAATCACGGAGTCTTGCAACTTCAAGACGTTCTCTAAGATGTACTTTTTCTCACAAACATTCTCTGAAAGGCCACATTCTTGAGCAGCTTTTTAAGTGTCACAGATGGCACTTCAGCATTATCTTTGAGTGCTCTGGTAGATTATTTATAGAATGCTTGGGAGGTAAGTAACTTATTTGAGAAGGACAGGAACTGAGCAGTATCACTTTGCTTTAATTTTTAGATTCAAAGCCACTGCTCATTTATTCTTGTGTTCTGGTACTTTTATCAGTGGATAAACTTTACTTTATAAAATCGTAGGGAAAGTTGACAGAAACTTACCTTGGAGAACCTCTGTACCAACAGAGCATTTCTTTTTCCACAGTCATGTATACTACTCAGTTCTTGTATATGTCAATACTATATAGATACCAGTTGAATAAATTTGCTTTATTTTTATTTTTTATTTTTTTAAGAGTTTCTTCTTTTTTTTTTTTAAGATTTATTTTTATTTATTTATTTAATTTATTTATACAAGCACTGGGTACAGTCAGAAGCGCAGGAGGGTGAGAGCATCCACCAGAGCCAGAGGGGAGAGTAGAGCAGGCAGAAGGACCTAAGTACACTGCTGAGGGGAGCAGCCGGTGGCAGGAGAGGTCTGCGCGCCATGTGGGACCCTCCTCTGGTGGCTGGGGAGCAGCCGGGGATCGAACCGGCTCTGCAGAGGCTGCGGGCAGCTTCGCAACCCAGCGCTCAACCGCTGCGCCAACGGGGAGGCCCAATTTGCTTTATTTTTAAATGACTTTCCTTCTAATGTGACAGTTATCTTTTCTCCAAAATAAATGAAGGTTGAATCTGCCTGGAATATCAGAAAACTGAGTCCGACACTGTGCTGGTTTGAGGTATGACTTCTAGTGACACTTGTTTAGATTTTCTTGGTTCAGAAAGTTATTTTTCTGTTGTCACTAGTTCATTTTGGGTAATTCCAGCAATCTCTTGCCATTTTAAAAGTGAAAGCTTTATTGTACAAGTTTGCTTTCCATCTTTTGAAAAGGAATCTAGTTTCATTTGTTGCATTTACTACAATATAGTATACTAAATGTGCCATGTGGAGCATTTTGTAAGTTGGGACAGGGAGAACACACTTGGGAGAAAGAATGGACATGTGGCCTTTGAGTGAATGTAGGATAAAGTTTGAGGTGTGTTTCTAAGTTGGCTTTAAGAGTTCACAGGTGGGAAGCAAACCCAACTACTAACTGCCACTTACCACCAGGGACTGTGCTATGCATTTTATATGTATTATTTCACCTATTCTTTTAAGTAAGTCTGTGAGATAAATGTTTTTGATATTTTACAGAAGAGCAAACTTAGATCATATATCTGAAATGACTTAACCAATTACTACGGTTAGACCCTGATACCTTTTATTGTTTCCATGATAAGGATGGTATCTTTTAATTTGCGAGTTTTGGACAAACTGTTACACAGCTAAAAGTAGAAACATTAAAAAATTGTTGATTCAAATAATTACATCAACAGTTAAATCAATTTAGGTTTCTACCCCCCTCTTTTAGCCCCCAGTTTAAATACTTTTTATAGGATGTTTTAAGTTGTAAAATAAGAGCGGTTTCATGGCCTTATTGTGTGCAAATGACAGATAAGATGTAAACAGGAGCTGAAACAATTATTTTACCAGAAAATCTTGCTACTATAAGCTCCAATATGCATATTGAAGATGGAGAAGTGGAGCCCCTTAGACTTCATTTGGGTTCTCCATATTGCCATGATCACCTTGTATTAGAGAAACTGTTTTTGTTTGCATTGATTACTTATGTTAAAAGCAAAGTAGTTGATGCCTAGATATTTTGTTATTCAGTCAATAAAATCTATATGAGTAATTCACTTAGTTATGACTTTGTTTTAAAATTGCCAGCCACTGAAGTAACTATGTCAAACTTTGATTAGTACTGATTTTAATTTTTAAAACTATTATAAGTATTTTAACTTTTAAATGTTATAATTGTTTTTTAGATACTGTTCTTTGTTAGCTGCTCAAGTCTTAATCAGAACTCTCATTTAAAAAAAAATTTTTTTTTACATCATTGTTCATTTTTAAACTATTTGCTTCCCCCCATCCCCTCAGCTGTAGTCCCCATAGAATTTCCTTCACCAATGCACCCGTGCACCATCACTGCAGTCCCCTGTGCTCCTCCCTCCCTCCCTCTGATCCCTCTCCCTCCTCCTCCCCTGCAGGATGTCTCTGATTTATAATTGTCTTTTTGCTTTATTGTGTTTTTTACTGTTATTATTATTTTACACTGATGTCTTATTGGGTTCCCCTATATTTGTGCTATAAGTGAAACCATCTGATATTTTTCTTTTTCCTTCTGGCTTATTTCACTGAGCATAATGCCTTCTAGCTCCATTCACATTGCTGCGAATGGCATGAGTTTATCTTTTTTGACTGCTGAATAATATTCCATTGTGTATATATAACACATCTTCTTGATCCAGTCATCTATTTTTGGGCATTTGGGTTGTTTCCAGGTTTTACCTATTATAAATAGTGCTGCAATAAATATAGAGGTACAGGTGTTCCTTTGAATCAATGTTTTTGTGTCCTTTGGGTAGATCCCTAGGAGTGGAATTGCCGGGTTATATGGTAGCTCCATTTTTAGAAGGTTGAGGAATCTCCATATAGCTTTCCATAGTGGTTGGACCAGTTTGCACTCCCACCAGCAATGTAGGAGTGTTCCTTTTTCACCACATCCTTGCCAATATTTGTTGTTGCTTGTTTTTTTGATATGTGCCATTCTTACTGGTGTAAGGTGGTGTCTCAATGTAGTTTTAACTTGCATTTCCCTGATTATAAGGGATGTTGAACATTTTTTCATATGCCTGTTGACCATTTGCATTTCCTCTTTGGAGAAATGTCTTTTAAGTTCTTCTGCCCATTTCTTGACTGGATTGTTTATTTATTTTTTGTTGAGACATGTGCATTCTTTGTATATCTTTGTGATCAGTCCCTTATCAGTTGACTGGAGTGCAAAGATTTTTTTCCCAATCAGTGGGGTTTCTCTCTGTTTTGGTTAATGTCTCTTTTGCTGTGCAGAAGCTTTTCAGTTTGATGTAATCCCAGATGTTTATCTTTTCCTTGACTTTCTTTGCTTTGGTTGATGAGTCTTTAAAGATGTTATTGTGATGTATGTCTTATAGTGTTTTACTTATATTTTCTTCTATATATTTTATGGTTTCAGGTCTTATGTCCAGTTCTTTTATCCATTTTGAGTTGATTTTTGTGCATGGTGAAAGGTGGTGGTCTAGTTTCATTTTTTTGCCTGTGGTGGTCCAGTTTTCCCAGCATCATTTTTTTTATTTTTTTATTTTTATATTCCCCATACAATTGCAACCCCCTGATTTTGACCCCAATCCCACCTTTTCCCGCCCCCCCAAAGTGTGTCTCTTTCCCAGCACCATTTTTTGAACAAACTGTCCATGTTTCATTGCATAGAAATTTCATTTATTAAGGATTAATGTACATGGAAATTATGCTGTTTCTTTAGTGTTAACTTAATGTTTTAATTTTTATATGGGGATTACATATTTTATACTTTATCAAAACCCAGTTAAAAAATTTTGTAAAAAATCGTGTTTGTCTAGTGTTTCCAGTAAATTTTGAATTGCCAGTGGTATCAAGTTGATACCATTCAAAATAAAACACTCCCCCCCAGAAATCAGTAGTTTTCTCTTTGCTATGTGAGAGCAAATTGTCATCTATTACTCATGCCCAAAGTAAAAAAAAAAAAAAGAAGAAGAAAAGAAAGAGGGAGAATGTGAACACATTTCATAGAGTTCTAAACTTTATACTATCTTGAATGGTCCTAAAAGACAAAAACATGAAACATATATCATTTAGAAATGTCTTTCATGTGCATCTGTATTTTGTTAGAGCCATGTGTTTTAGATTCATATTTGTAATTCTTCAAAAATTTGAAACTTTCCTGATACATATGTGATTGTTGCGAGGCATTTGTGATATGTTCATAAAGTATGAGAAATTACAGGCTATGATGAAATATTTTAAGTTGTACAGAAAGTGTATCACTGTGTGACTTTATATTTCTCTTCTACTTACAGTTTTCAATTGAGAATAATTTCATATTTCATTGTATGCTTTTGTTTGTGTTATATGGAACTGATTACTTATTTAAATACTTCACAGACCTGGACTAATGTTCATGAAATCCTGGTATCTTTTGGAAGAAGAGTTTTGTGCTATCCACTTTATCGCCATTTTAAGCTGGTGATAAAAGCCTACGGAGACACTATAAAGATATTACAACTAGGTAAGATACTGTGCTTGCAAATTTGGGAATGAAAGTGTTACAAGTTATAAGTCATTGAGGGTGTAATCATGATTTTGCTTTTTTGTATACATAAATAAGTAATGAAAATTATTCACTTCAATATTTTCCCCTCCAGATATGCAAATAGTCACTCCCTGTAGCTATGTAATTGCTCTTTTCTGAGAAGGTGGAAGGGTAGACAGAAGATGAACTCAGTATTCCAAACTGTTTTATATCAGAGTACATTGCATCATTCAGTATTTTTTGGATTCCTATCATTTTCTATGCACTATGCTAGGATGATGGGTATAGTAATAAATAGATAGATACATCCCCTATTCCTTTGAAGTTTACAGTTTTGTCAGGGAAGACAGATGGTAAATAAGTAGGCAATCCAGAAGAGAATGAAAGCACTTGACTGTGGAAGTATAGTGATCACTAGGCAGAGGCATGAAAACCGGACTTGGAGGTCAGGAAAGACTTCCCAAAGTAAAGCACAGATGCTCTGAAAACTTTGAGTATTGCTCAATCTAATCTGAAAAGATAAATATTTGTTATCTTTAAGCATATGGAAAACCCCAGTTTCTGAAACAAATTCCAGAGTACCCATAACAACATCATTGGCACAGTGTATAATTTCTAAGCTAATGCCTTTAAAAGGGGCAACATACACTTGTCTGTATTAGTTCTGGCACTTATTTAAAAATCACTTTTGGGCCTCCCTGGTTGAGTGCCGCACTGGGAAGCTGTCTGCAGCCTCTGCAGTGCGGGTTCGATCCTGGCTGGCCGGCGAGAATCCCACATGGTGAAGCAGAGCTCTCCTGTCTCTCCTGCTGCTCCCCTCAGCAGTGTATTTCATCAGTCTGCCTGTTCTGTTCCCTGCTCTGTCTCTGGTGAATCCTCTCACCCTCACGCGCATCTGGCCTGTACCCCGAATCTTGTATAAATAAATAAATCTTTAAAAAAAAATCACTTTCAGTACTTCATGGTCATTTCTGGGGACTCTTGTCATTCCTTTTTGCTTATATACAAGTTCTTCTGGGGGCTCAGTTTTCAGACTTCGGAGTAAGAAGGTGTACAGATACAAGTTCTTCTGTGGGTTTAGTTTTCAGACTTCCGAGTAAGAAGGGATAAGAAAGGAAGTAGTCCTTCCCTTTATACCCAGGTGACTTCATTGGCTTGAAGTGAAGAATCATATCTCTAATATTTTGTCCCTCCTAGAGGTATATCTAAATTTTTCCTTGACTTCAGTGTAGCCTATCATCATTTTGGTGGGGAAAAAAAAATCATGTTTGAACTAGATTTTTTTTAAGTGCACAGTAATTGTAAAAATGTATCATAGGTAAATGAAAGATACCTTTTTATTCATCCAATTGGTTTAGACTATCTGTGTTTTATTTGCATTATTGATCATAAGGTAGCAGAGCTATTTTTTTTTAAAGATTTATTTATTTTTATACAAGAACTGGGATACAGGCCAGATGCGCAAAAGAGTAAGAGGATTCACCAGAGACAGAGCGGGGAACAGAACAGGCAGGCTGAAGAAATACACTGCTGAGGGGAGTAGCCGGTGAGACAGGAGAGGTCTGCCTTGCCATGTGGGATTCTCACTGGCCAGCCGGGATTGAACCTGCACTGCAGAGGCTGTGGACAGCTTTACAGTGCGGCACTCAACCACCTGCGCAAGCAGAGCTATTTTTGAGAAATCTCTTTAACAGTGGGAAACAAAGTGCTTTTTGTCCCTACATATTATTATCGCTATTCATCTAAGATATTTCTTGAAATTCAAAAATGACTTTGGAAAATTAATCTACTATAAATGACTGTTGAACTTGAGTTACATGTCACAATTTCTTGTTTAAGTCATACTAGATATTTACTTATTATTCATATTTTTGTACAATGAGAATGCAGTTTGAGGTTATCCTGTTAAATCATGGTCTCCAGATGGAAAACTGGTAACACTCCCATGTATACATGCACATGCATATACACATGTGCTCACATGTGCACGTGCTCGCACACACACAATTACTTGTTATTTTTTATTCTGGGACATAATCTAGTTCTCTGGATTTTTATTTGAAAAGTAATCAGTTCTGTGATTGCATAACCAAAAATAAATTTGATTGCCCTGGCTTGCACTGTAATCAACTGCTCAAACAGTTTTAGTGGGTTAGAACTGAAATTTAGACTTTTCATCATTATCAGTTTGACAAGAAATAATCTTGTCAGCTGTGTCGTGATAGCACCAGAAAACTTTAGATAACATACTGGAGGCCTGTCTGCTGAAAATGAATCTGAACCCTCTATAAACCATACACAGTATGTTCTGTGGCTAAAAACAGGTCATAGCTAGCTGGTGTCGAAACAGAGCTGGATTGTCTAGAATTCATGCCATAAGCTATGGGGATGGGAAACTCTGTATGATGATTGTAATCTGTATTTGTACAGGTGGATTGCATAGGGATGCCATTATTGTAGTCGAAGAGCCTTGCATGTTTGAACACCCCATCATTTAAGTGTATATCACTCTAGTTTGGCCTTTGTTGCCTTCAAGAATGTATTCATGCATACTTTTAACTCAAAATGCAATCACAGCAATCACTTTTTATTATAAAGGTCAGTGTAGTGCTTCCATAGTTGAAAGTAATAATTCTTTTCCCAGAAAAAATACTGATCTTAAATGGAAGAATGAGCTTCCAAAAACCTGTGTAGAAAGACTTCAGAATCTACAGGGTATTTCATTACAACTGATTTACTAAAATCTGAGTTTGGAGGACACCACCTATAAGATAGCAGAATAGGGAGGTTCTGATAAACCTCTCTCCTAAGTATAACTATAGAAAAACTAAATTTTGTTCTCAGAAAATTTCACCAGTATATTGCTGGCAATAAGAAAACTGAAACATGAGTATCTTTCTCTGAGATCGGGGACTCGCTGTTGGGGTGGAACAGGGAGACAATGAAGAAGTTACTGCCAAGTTGGCGGTCCTACCACTCAGATGATTAAGCTAGGGACTGGGCACAAACTGAACCAGTGCACAGAGTGTGCACAGAGAACTTTTTTCAGTGACGGTAGAGTTCAGGCCTACATAGACACAGGCACTGGAACTATTGTTTCAGTGGCAGAGAAACTGGCTACTCACAATGCCAACAGTAGAGAGCCCTGCCCCTCCCTGATGGGAGAACTGAGAGAGAAACCAACTGCACACTCTACACCCCAAAGAGCACCAGCAGGAATCTGGGCTCTGTTAACAGTGAACAGTGTTTCCTTTGCAGATCTAGGGACGAAGTGCAGAACTATTTGCCTAGAAAACTCTCCCCACCAAGACTGAGGCCTAGTCTGGGGAGTCCAGCATCCCCTTTGGTCCTCTCCTGCCACCAAGTTAAACAAAAAAGATAAAACTAAAGCCACAGTGCACCAAATGGAAAAACCAAATAAGGGAATACGTATGCCTAGGATGGAAAAGCTGAGAAAGAAGATATAAATCCAGAGACCTCTATAAAGGACACAGAGTTTGAGGACCTAATGTTTCACAATTAAAAAAAAATCAGCAAGATCCTAGCAATTCAGTCAAATGCAGAAAATCAGGTATGGGATCTTAGAAAAAGGCCCAGGAACAAAAAGATTTTTCACTAAAGAGATTGAAGATATTCAAACAAACAAAAGAGACAAATGTGGAAAGCATATTAAGTAAGTTTAAACTAGCAGAGGACAGAATTCTATAATTGAAGATAAAAATGCTCACGTGACCCAAGTGTAAGAAGAAAGAGGGATAAGGGTTAGGGAAAAGAAGAAGCTCTATGAGAAATGTCATACTTCATTAGATGATGGATATTCTAGATGGTGAGAGAGCGAGCAGGGAGTAGTGACTCTATTCAAAGAAATTACAGCTGTAAACATCCCAAACCTAAGGAAAGAATTAAACGTGGATGTCCAGGAAGCCAAAAGAGCAACTGAATTTCTAAAAGCAAAATGACCTAAACTTGTTAAATTATAGAGTCAACAATAAAAAATGCTAAAGACTGCTAGGCAGATAAAGATGAAACATACAAAGGTACCTTTATCAGATTTTCATCAGATTTCTTACAGATAGATACACTCAAGGCAGTGGAATGGCATATTTAGAATTCTAAAGATTTATTTATTTGTGCGTACAAGAGCTGGGGTACAGGCCAGAGATGTGGTGGGTAAGAGGATCCACCAGAGACAGAGTGGGGAACAGAACAGGCAGAATGACTGAAATACACTGCTGAGGGGAGCAGCAGGTGAGACAGGAGAGGTCTACACCATGTGGGTTTCTCCCTGGCCGGCCGGGAATTGAACTTGTGCTGCAGAGGCTGCAGATTACTTCATAGTATGGTGCTTAACCCCTTGCACCACCAGGGAGGCCCCGTATTTAGAATTCTAGAAGATAAAAACCTCCAGCCAAGGCTATTATCTTTCAAAATTGTCATTTAAATGATGGGGAAATAATGACTTCCCCAGACAAAAGTTAATTGAGTTTGCCACTACTAGTCCTGCCCTACAAAAAATGTTGAATGGAGGTCTTCTGAATGAAAAGAAAAATAGAAGGACACAAAACATTGAGTTAGTGTTAAATAGTAAAATGGAATCAGAAGGATAAAGAATAATAATATTGACAATAACAAAATATTAGGAAAAAGAAAAGGATAGAAACAGTATAAAATGACAATGAGTTGATACCTACAAAAATTGCACTCTTTTAGATATAGTCCAATATTTCCTTCATAGAAATCATAAGACAAAACCTGGAATAGAGAGGTATAGAAGAAGAAATGAGGAAACTTGAGAGAAACACCAGGGAAAGCCATCCAAGTATAAAGGCAGATAGAAACACATGGAAAAAGACATAACAAAAAGGTAAAATAACCAAAAAGCAAAAGAAAGAATGGTAATAAATAAGCCTTATATATTAATAATCACCTTAATGTGACTGTTTTGAACTCACCAATTAAAAGACATATCAATAAGC